GATAAAAATGGAGGCCACACTCCGAATACCTACTTGAAGCACAAACTAAGTATCACTATCTCGCTCTCTGTGGGCAGACTCGCTTTTTCTGAATAAACAAAAAATATAAAATTGCTCAAATTCAATGAAACCAATGTAAAATCTTTATTTCTTGACATAGGTATCATTAAATATGATAAGTGTAATTACTGGTAAAACGTTTTAGGAAGAAATTACTGTAAAAAATGTGAAAAATGTTTACAATGATCCAATGTCGGAAATCACGAAATAAACACTTACGCGTGGAGTCTTATGTCACTTCCAGGACACCACGTACTACCGCAACCACGCACTACAAAATTTTGCACCAATTCTTGTGATAAAACAATGATTATTTCCTGTAAACAATCTCAAACAAAATTAACTGCTTAATAAACAAAATAGTAAACAACCGCCATGATGGGCCGGATTGGGCCGATGTTGCCACATGGTACCGATTGGGTAATCGGTACCATGTGGCAACTAATGTGGCAACTAATGTGTTCCTGGGTAGGAATTGGGATTGTAATTCCCTGATTCGCCAACACATTAAGCCTAAATGGCCGACAATTTTGTGATTTTTTATTTAACTAGGTAATCTTAGTTTCAAATATTAATTATTTATTTGTTTAACTTCTGATTTGGTTAGTGAATGGCTATTTCGAAGAATTTACAAGGAGATTTAAATCAGAAGATAGCACATTAAAAAGTTCACATTAAAAAGATAGGTAGGGCCGCAGAGAGCGAGATAGATATAAGTAGGTATTTGACTCAAGTTTTTGTTCCAACTCTGCCCTCCATTTTTATCTTTAGCTTCATGGGTGATTGGTTTGATCTCGTTCGATTCTCAGACTGTTCGATTTTATCAATGACCGAAGGAATGAATGAAGCTGTGAAATATTTTTTCCACATCATGCATGACATTCATGACACAACCAACTATTGTTTAAAAGGTACGAGTCACAGCCACAGCACAGATGGTACGAGTTAAACAAACGAGATTTGTTGAGATGATGCTGTTAATTTTTTTGTTTTTCCAAATCATGGTGAACATTTATTTGTAATACCATGGTGGTGTTGGTGTCACATTAATTTATTTGTGGCGTGTTTTGCTTAATAGTGTGGACATTAAGCTGATGTGAGTGAAAGCACTTTTCAATGGAATCGTCCTGATTATTGATTTTTCTTAGCATAATATCCAGATGTGAAACACTGACTTTCCAAAAAATGAACTTATTGAACAAAATGATTGCCATGAACTGGTACAAGCTGTATCTACACAGACAGATTCTCGTTAGAAAAAAAACGGAATTTGTTAGGATTGCACTCCAGCGAAAGATATGTCTATTTTTGAAAAGTTCCAAAAGTTCTGCTGGATGGACAGGCACAACACAACGTCATGAATGCCGCAGCAGCCACGTCACAAATAGGCTACAATTCAACGACATCCGCGAAATTCAAGTCGCCGCCACCACAAGTTTTGTTCTCCATAAACATCGGGTCAATCAATAATGTCTCGGCATAACCGCGTGCCTTAACACCGCTAATACCTCGTAGGCATGATCGCGTGCCTTTCAAAATCCCCATTAGACAGTAATGTCATTCATATATTGTATAAAATTGTAAATAATGTTTTATTGTAAAAACTTGACCTGCGGTTACAATATTGCCCCATTATAAATCTACTTCTACGCGATGAAATTGACTTTACTGAAAGTTGACCCCGCTGTACCTGCTATTCAATTTCGCTAATATTATTTTCCATTGTGTTGTACGTATTAACTAAGTACATTCTTATTGAATTCAATTTCTATGCTTGTTTTAGTGTGTTTCTGCAGTTCTCAATCTTTGACTCTGAACAAAAAAATCTTGAATTTGTTTTATACATTTACCTATGTACCCGATTGTTTTCATGTATTATTACATAGCTACCTTGACCTATCTATGTTTAATTAATATTTTTTTTATGTTCATGTTGTACTGTAAATCTTAAAACTTTTTAGTTAGTAATTATGCAAACAACTGTGATAAGTTTTATTGTAACATAGATTGTATTAAATATTATTATTTATATTTTTATAAATAAATTGTGCCTTACTTCCAACCATGTTATTATTCACCATTAATTATAACTAGTGACAGGTACAATTACTTACAGAATTAGATACAAATGAAGACAAGTAGGAACTACTACTACTACTCTTAGTAAGTACTACCTGCTACCAAAAAAATTAAGGATTGCCAATTCACAAATGTAGCAGGTTTCAGTGCAAAGCGAATTTGTCTTCTTCATAAACAATAATAAAATTGGCTGGTTGACACATTAAAGGTTGTCTGGCATGCACACATGCAGAGCGAATTAACAAAGGTAAAAAACATTAAGATTTCAGTGCTTTAGTGATGACCAAACTATTCAGATTTTTTTGTAAAATTAGGTATTTGCTAGAGAAAAATTAGGTTACACAATATCACTTATTATAATAAATTTTTACCTTTTGTATCATCGATGCTGTACTGTCTGTAATACCTATTTGGCTGCCATGAAATGTAGATGTACAAATTAAATTCTTTCGTAAATATTCAAGGCCTGAAATTACAAGTTGGTGTAATTTATTAGCATCCCAAGTTCAAGTCTAACTACTTAATCTGTAAGTAGTTAGACTTGAACTTGGGATGGGATTGGGATTTGTTTTTTTTTTTTATCCACAACAAGGAAGCTCTTGGCCTGTATCTTACCTCTAACTGCCGGAACACAACAATGCTGTTAACATTGTTGTTATGGCGACAGACTTAGGTAAGATGGTGGTAGCTAGCCAGGCGGACTTAGAACAAGCCCTACCACTAACCAAACCGAACAGAAAAATCTGCCCCCACTGGGAATCGAACCCGGGACCTCTGCGTCTGAAGCAGGTGGTCTTACCACTAGACCACAGAGGCGGTTACCTTCCTGCTATCTTTACGTTGTCTTCGGTCCACCGCCATGTCTCACGCTGCGTTTTCCGGTACACGGCCTCCATTAACCATCTGTTCTGCATACTATGTGCCTTTCCCATTGCCACTTCAACTTGCTAATCCGTCGGGCAATATCAGAATTTCATTCGTTTACAAATCTCCTCATTTTTGATTCGATCCCCATTTTTCACATTTAAAATTTTCAGATATTTTTTGACCTCTTTTTTGTCGATAAATATACCTACATAGGTCTATTTTCACCTATTTTCATTATGTGCACTTTATCAAGACTCACACTGTAATAGAAGAAGAATCAACATAACGTTTTACTTTCCCGCCAAGGGCAGGCCGAAGCGAAGCCAAAAGAAACATCGCAACAAGCAACTTTAAGCTTTACTTTAACACACATTGGTTATAGACTTTCGTTTCAGGTCTAAGGTATTTTGGACGAATAAATTTTGCGTAATTTCTCGAACGCTGCCCAACCGAGTTGGATTGACTTATTGTCAATAATCTAGCTAGAGAATTGAGCTTCGAACCGAAACTGGATAGGGTGCAACATGGACATTCGACATAAACTTCGTTTTAAATTCGATATAAACTTGATAAAGGTCTTCGAGCATTGTGCCAAGATCTTTTCCATTGATTCCATCATTCGAAGGTGAATTAATGTTTATGCCGAATCCTTTTGGAAGTGACTTCCAATGCCGCGGTGAACATGAATTTCGGATAACATCTCCCTGCCTAACACCTCGCTGCAGAGGAATACCGAATACCTACTCGTCGGACTGACATGATGGCGTTTTTGTAGGTACAAGCACTTCAGCACCTCGGTATACCTACCTGGAGAGACAGTAACACTGCCCAAGTCTCGATTGAATCGAAAGCTTTCTCATAATCCACGAACGTTAAGCATAGTGGCAAGTTATAGGTACTCCTACTTTAACTCAAGTAATCGTAAAAATGTTCAAGCCAAGAACATTTTTGGTTAAAGCTAAGCTAAGCTAACTTATTAAGACGGCATGCAAAGGCAACGCCGTCTCTGACCAAATCCTTCGGCGTATGGATCCGAATATCCGTTTAGGATATACCTCTTAGTTTAAAAGTTATTACGTTTTATTTACAATAAGTAAATAGAAAAAAATCTATAAAAACATTTAAAAATTTCAGATATTTTTTTACCTCTTTTTTGTCGATAAATATACATAGGTCTAGTTTCACCTATTTTCATTAAGTGCACTTTATCAAGACTCACACTGTAATAGAAGAAGAATCAACATGACGTTTTACTTTCCCGCCAAGGGCAGGCCGAAGCGAAGGATATGACGTCCAACGTTCAGCAGGGTAACTAGGGATGGAGTAAAGCAGGTAGGTAAATATTACATTCTTGTAGAGCGCTGAATCAATTTTGTATAATCATTAATACAAAAAAATAGTATTTTATTATTACATTATTTTAATGTCCTCAAATTTTCTAATATTCTATAAACCAAACTGTAAAATTTTTTCCCTGTTATACATGATTTTAATGATGTAGTTAAATTCAAATTAAGTGCAAATCGCTATGCGAATGCGTGGCTTATCACTTAACTCGACTAAATTGACCGGTTTAGACTCGTTTAGCCGTACAGTACGAGTAGAGTTTAGCACATTTTTTTAGTTTGATAGGCGAGCACCTGCATGGATTTGTTTGACTAAATTAGGACCTAATCGACTAAATTATTGGTATTCTCATGACGCAAATCAAATACACTATGATCGTAATACATAGTGTGAACAACACCATCTCGGCCACTCTTTTTATTCATAATCTGAGGCCACTCTTCATACTTTACCTGTACATCGCCCATATTTTGGTGTGTGTGAAAAAAGAGACATTAATTATTTGTTGTCAAGTTTTCGGAGTTTTCATTGTACATCACTAAACAGTGTGTGGTGATTGGTGGAGCCACGGTGGAGCTGACATTCGTTTCGAATGAGGAATGAACTGTGGGAATGAATGGTGAATGAAGTTTTAAATCTTTATTTGCACGCGATTGTTAGAGTTGATGAGATGGTGGTGTTATTTCTTTTGTTTAAATTTTAAACTTGAAGGAATCATGGTTCGATTTAATTATACCATTATGGTGGCGAGACATTAAAGTATTTGTTGGTGTCAATAATTTGCTTAAATGTAGTATGGATATTTTGAGGACCTTGGTGGTGGCGTAAATTGTGAAAGGTACTGTAGGCTCTGGTCAATGGAATTCTATGACCAGTTTAGTATTAATTTCAAATCTGGACCACTCATTATTTTATTGGAATATCCAAATGATAAACTATTTATGTTATAAGACTTTCTCAAAAAATGAACGCACATAGTGAACAAAATGGCCGCCACGTACCGGTGCAAGCTGTTCCTACTACTGCACTGACGGATCCCCGTACGCGTAATTCGCCTACAGATAAAAACCGGGTTTGTAGGGATTACGTTTGGGGAATTTGTAATAAGTATGGGCAGTGTAAATACCGCCATGAGTGTTCGCTGGAGGACATGAAAAAAATTATACGGTTCTGTCATAATTTTCAAAACAGAACAGGATGCGTACGGCCTGATTGTACCTATCTGCACACATCCAGCGAAGAGGAGAACCTATTTCTGACAACAGGGAAGCTCCCAAAAGTTCTTCTGGATAGGCACACTGCCATGAATGCCGCAGCCGCAGCAGCAAGTAGCGTCGCGAGCAGCTACAATCCGACGCCATCCGTGAGCTTCATGTCGCCGCCTCCGCCACCACCGCTCCCGCCGCCTCAGACGGTGCCGTCGGTGATGCCACCACCGCCTCCGCCACCACCACCGCCTCCACCACCAAATGAACCTGCAGCAGTGCACCCGGTCCCCACATTACCCACATTATATGCTGGTAAATTTGGTCACATGGTATTTTAACATTATACAATTCCATTATTCTGTGTGAAGCTAATAAACTTTAAAGCTTAATTATTTTCAATGTTTTGTCTATTTAAATTTTATATTAGGAGGAATTTTACGAAATTTGTGTCTTCATGTTAGTTTCAATAGTTAATTTTTTTCTGTTTCAGCACCACCACCTCAAGCACCTCCAAATTTCCAAACAACCCAACCGCCTCCATTTCTGCCACCCATGTAAGTTATTTAATAGTGATCTTTTTACTTCTTTAGTGTTTCTAAATTATTATTTCTTATAATTTTATTTTAATAAGGTCCAATTTAGTTTAGATAGTTTTTTTCTACCATTTATTGCAATATGTCCATCTGTCAGGATCATTCAGCAATATTTATAATTGTTTATTTTATTAGAAACCAATTAAAAGCATACTTATTTACTTTGGAAGTATACATTTATTTTTCTTGACCTACTTTGTATGTTGTCAACAGTTTTGATGCTAGTAGACCACCACCTCCATTACCAGCAACAGTAAAAAATGGCTCAATGAAAAGACCTAATAGTGATGCCAGCGATGGTGAGTATTATTTATTGACATTACTTTTGTACTGAATTAACTTATTTTGACGTAAATGAAACAGATAGTTAGATTATTCACACTGGCTATGAGGCATTAAATTTATTTTGGAGTAAGTGGCTGCTATGTCACTCACATAAGTGTTATTTCTTTCTGGTTAATTAACATACTCACATTTATATACCTAGCTAGTTATTTTTAACTCAATCATAATAACTTATTATTTTTTTGCTTTGCGATAAGACACAAAATGTTTACTTTGTTATGATAAAGCATTTAGTATTCCCAGTGGCATTCAGCGAATCTTCTTTAATTTACAAATATAATTTAAAACATGTATAATTTGAAAAAATACTTGGATGAAATTCCTTCAATGGTTTCCTTGTATAAGTGTAAAGATCAATATTGGACGGAACATTGTATTAATTATTTCCAAGCATACATGTATTATTTAGTTTATATTTAATAATTCTTAAAAAAATATATATACAGCTATACATATATTTTAATATGAAAATATGATTATGCGTACCTTCAGTTTTTTTGAATAATGTTTTTATATTATATAAATTCATTGCTTTTTATATATTACATGTAAGTTCCATACAAACAAATAAAATACAATCTTGGTTTGTTTACGTTTTCCTAGTATCTTAATATCTGAATTTATTTTGATGTTGTTTCATTCCTTACATATAACATTTTGAAAGTGTACTACTAACATTGCGATGTATAATTATTATGCAAAGTAATCACCATTTATTACACTTGCGCGTGTAATAAAAGTTTCTAGTCTAGGAAAATGTAATCAATTAACACATTGACAGTTGCGAAATATCAACTATAACTCAATGGTCTTAATATAAAATTATATTTGTGTACTACACTGTCAATGTGTTATAATGTATTCAATAATTTGTTTTCTGTGAATATTTTACTGCAATGGAGTAAATGGCTAATGTTGCATTTTGCTTGGCGTGCATTGATTTTGTTCTCAGCTGGCCCAAGCAAAGTAAGGAAATTGGACGACGCGAAGCCTGACAAAATGTGTGAACAATGCATACAACGAGAGTTAAGGTTTGCCTTCCTGCCATATATCAATTTAAACTTTCGCATGTTTTCGAATTTTATTATTGTTTCAGATGGTAAATATTTAGAAGCGACTGTATTATATAAGCTATAAAAAAATTTAAGCGAATTTATAGTATATTTATTTACAAAACTAATTTTTAATGGTTTCTTAACATTTGTTCGTGTCTTGAATATTAAGAGCAACGTCATGCCTTGATAATATTATAATTAAGTGCAAATAAATCTCTTGACAGTAGCTTAGAAAATATGGGAAACATTGGTCAAGAAATGAGTAAAAAATTAATTGAGAGTTGACCTGGCTCTTACAGCGATTTTGGAAATATTGATTTTCGATATATCCTAAGTTACAGGATAGAATAACATCGTAGTTACGGAATAGTAGTAAAATTAACGAACTGTTCTCACAATGCTTTTGAATAAAAGTCAAGAAATAACCCGCGTTAAGTGGCTGTGCGAAAATATTGAATAATTGTTGTGATCTGAGGTTAAGTGAGATTGACACTGTCGAATTTTCTTTTATAAAATCGAAAGTAATATAAATGGCTTGAATATAATTTCGTTGAAATGCCATCTACGATACAATAGTTAATGTTGCGCAGCGATGATTTATATGGCAACGCGTTTATCATCGAAGTGGGCATGGATGTAACACACAAATCAACCATTAAACACGAGCATTATCTTGCATAGTTTCGTTGTCGCGATAAAGCTGTAGGTACAGTTTATTATTGTAGTGCCGCAAATCTTCATTTTACGTTGGTCATTCTATGTTACAGCAGCGAACTATGTATGCAAGAAATAGAAAAGTTAAATCGACAACAAGAATATAAAAAGCTGCTATACAAAACCAAAGTCCAAGAGTTGGATAATTTGAAGGCCATGCTAAGGTTCCTACTGCCGCCGGATATTTGTGTCGCTGTTGAAGAAAATATTGACGTACGTAACTCACATGTTGTCGATTAATAAATTGCATTTGTTGCGTCACGCCATGATGTCATATTATATTTTTATATCATTTGCAGGGAGTGCAGAATTCGCCGCTTTTGTCTGTAAGTATCATTATTACCTATTTTAAAATGTATTAATAAAAACAAAAGCTCGGCATAGATATTTACTCCAACTAATTTTAATAAACAGACATGTGCAATGGTTTTGCGGCGTAAATCAGTGGGGTTACTCTTTTTAACACCGATTCGTATTTCAATGCTCATGAATAAGTACCACCTACGTCAAAGGACTTGAGGTCTTCCCAGTTGTAGGTGAACGATTAAATTGTAGTAGAGGGAGTCAGGTACTCCTTGTCGCAGTTCCTTAGGAAAATAACCACTAAAAGGAAACATTCACTTTTCCAGGTGAAATCAGTTGCTTGCTGTGGTATTGTGTTCTACTTCAGTAAACGATTGTTTTCGTTTTTTATTAACTGATCTTGTCTCGACAAAGAAAAAATTCTGTAGCAAAAGTGATGTGTCATTTTATTAGACTTGCCTGTAGAGTGTAGTCTAGCTAACATTTTCAGAAAAGTTTGAATTTCTTGGAGTAGATTATTACCCATATTACTAGTTAGACTAGGGGGTCATTAGCAGTTAAACAATACTAGAGGGGTAGCGGGACGGGAGTTAAGAGGTCGTACCACACTTAAAGGGATCTTAACCGTATCGCCTTTCTCTTCGCCGTCTACTAGATACAGCGTAACATGAAGCGAGTAGTTTTTTGGATCATATCAGTTTAATCAGTGAATATCTAGCTTTAGTCAGGTTTTTGTCAGTCTTCCCTGCTTCTCTGTGAATGAAAATAGTTGACCTAAACTGACAGTTAGGAGTAGCCCCACTGATTGAATGTCGATGTCGTTTCATTATTTTTTTTATACCTTGAATTAGGATACCTACTTATCAAATAATTTTATTCTGTTTTTATTTTAAGGTTCCTATGTCGCTGATGATACATAGATTGTTTGAGGATAACTTTGATGGTTTTGGTGCAAGCAATTCGCTAGATTCAGTAAGTATATTATTTTTATGCTAATTTTGTTATTGTGGACAAATTAATCACGAAACTGTTGTTGTCTCTATAAGCTGTTGGTAACGAACACCACCTATTTATTAGTACTTACTTATTTATTTATTTATCACTACACAGTATAATACAAAGTCGTTTTCCTGTCTGTCTGTCCCTATGTATGCTTAAAAATCTTTAAATCTACGCAACGGATTTTAAAGCGGTTTTTTATTAGATAGAGTTAGGAAGGTTTATAAACTTAGCACCCGTTAGTAAAAAATATAGCAGATTTATTATGTAAAAAAAAAACCAAAATATTCTTATTTGTTCATTTTCACATCAAGTAATTCTTTAAAAAATATTCCTCATACAACTGTCATTTCAAGGTTACTTTTTGGTTTTTAGGGTTCCGTAGCCAAATGGCAAAAAACGGAACCCTTATAAATTCGTCATATCTGTCTGTCCGTCCGTATGTCACAGCCATTTTTTTTATCATTGTTATATACTAACTATTATTTTGTTTTTATTACAGTTACAAGCATCATCAATAAGGGACATTGTATTGAGTTATTTACTCAATGGTAAGTACTCAGTTCGTAAAATATCGATTTAATTTCAAATCTCAAAAAATATTATTTATTTTAAACTGCAATTTTCAGCTAATACTACAACGACAGAAAGAAATTCGCCCTTAGACTCATGTACCATCGAAAGCTTGCTGCGAATGAATGCGGCAAACGACAACGCATTAACGCCGAGGCGTTACGTGAACGGACAGACTGCATCCCGTCCTGAGCACGTAGCTGCGAATAACAGCAGGTGCGTTGGTTTTATTCATTTGTAATTCAAGTCTTTTATTAAAAAACGAAGTTCAAAACTAGACTTAAGACAACAAATAACAATGTAAGAACGCACGAAGCGGTTTTCGTCCGTGTTTGCTGCGGTTGCGGGCCCTCTGGTTCTGAAGGATGTGAACGTAAAAAATTAAAACACATTTCACGACGCGTTTTACGCTCGCGGCATTCGCACAGAACTCCGATCACAAGAGTTTGAAAATAAAACACGTCACGTCGTACTAACTGACCACTGAGCTATCGACTACCTACGTCCGAATCGATGAAGATATCACAATAGATTCCTTTAAGAAAACTCGTCCTTTTTAGGAAAATTGTATTTCAGTGGAGATCTACGACGTTTTCTATCTCTACTAAACCAACACGTGCAGATCGCCATCGCCGGCGCGATAATAGGCCAATGACAGGACGCGCAACCAAAGACAGGGCGCGCGACATGTCATTCGCCTATGATCGCGTAAAATATGCGCGTACGTTAAATAGAACCAATGTAACGTTGTCTAGGCCAGCGTTTCCGAGCACCTCCAATGGCTCTCCGCGCCCGTTTCCACCTCCAACGACCGCTGCCGGGCCGGCGCCTGTTGGGCCCACGCTGGGGCCATCGACGGCGGGGGCGCCCACGCCGGCCGGGCCCGCGTCCGCCGGCGTCACGCCCCCTGCCTTCCCGCCGCCCTACCAGCACGCCGGGCCGCCGCCGGGGATGCGACACCCCTTCCCTCCGGCGTACGGGCCGCCGCCTTCTGGTGAGTTCTTCTACCTCTTTTTAGGCGCTCGACAGTTATCCAACTTCATGGTTCACTAAGGCCTACTGTCCACATAAACCGCACGTCATGCGCACGCTATTGCTTGCATCTTGCGTATAAACAAAACTGTCCACAAAGTGACACGTTGGGCCTACCTTTAGTCTTCCGTTCGTGATGCGGTGTGCATTCGTCAAATGACGGACAGTGTGCCTTACTCAGCCATACTTAATCTTAAAATACAGGACTAGAAGCGTAGTAGAAGTAGTTTCAAATGTCCAAGGATATTTATATTTATTTATCAATAAAAGTGGTTCGACTACATATGAACAGTTTTCTACCATAAGGAATCCAGAACCGTTCCATTGTGCTGTGCTGTAATATTCTGACTTGTTTACTGAGACTGTACAGTCCTATCGGTTGCAGGCGCGGCCCCGCCGCCGATGTTCGGCGCGCCGCAGCCCGGCCCCTCCTCGCAGCTGCAAACCAATGGCCCTCCGGGTCCCATGGTCCCCCCCGGCCCGCTTGGGCACCCTGGCCCAGTGGGTCTGCCCGGGCCCCACGGGCCGCTAGTCGCGGCGAACCCTAGGCATGCCACGCCGCCCCCGCCGCCAAATGGACATTACAACCAGTACATGATGGGCTTCCATCCACCCCATTTTTTCCCACCATATCAATAACCAAGAGGTATGAATCTCTTTTAAAGGCTGGCGGTTACGCAAAGAAGACTGATCTCAATTGATAATCTTGCTGTGATAACAATGATGCCTTTATTGTTTTTTTATTACAAGCTTTTATTTACTTTCACAAGTCTGGAGCGAAATAATTTAATCCTATACATATAGTACTAACGAAAAGTTCTCGTCAATACGGATGAAATGAGCCCAAACTCGATGGGCTTGTGTCGTTTCAGTGCGGATTTCCTATGGCTACCTTCCGGCTTCATCATCAGACCCTGGTTACCATATCGGATTGAAGTTCTCGTCAATACGAATTAAATGAACCCAAACTCGACGGGCTTGTGATATTTCAGTGCGGATTTCCTATGAGCACCTTCCGGCTCCATCAGCAGACCCTAGTTACCATTTTTTTTTTTTTTTTTTTTTTTTTTCCCCCACNTTTATTTTTTATTTTTTTCACCCCACCACCCCGGATCACGAGTCGGCCAGTCCGACCCCTTCACCGTTCGGCTATCGTGGCTTAAATATAAGATTTAAGTTATCGTCAATACGAATTAAATGAGCCCAAACTCGATAGGGTTGTGTCTTTTCAGTGCGGGTTTCCTATGGCCACCTTCCTGCTCCATCATCAGACCCTGATGGTTACTATATAGGATTAAAGTTCTCATGAATATGAATTAATCGAGCCCAAACTCGATAGGCTTGTGTTATTTTATTGCGGAGCTCCTATTATGGCTACCTTCCAGCTTCATCATCAGATCAGCTCCATGTCATCATAATATTGCATTGTCATCCGACTTACACATGCATCCAAAATTTCAGCTCAATGGGAAACCGGGAAGTGGATCAATTTTATCAGACATGTGAAAGTAAATAAATCATCGCGGTGTTCGATTTCAATTTTGACTGGCCTATAGTGTAAAGCTGGGTTGCACCATTTTACTTTAGCTATAACAAATGTCAGAAATCTGTCAAACACCTTACAAAAACACCGGTTATCGTTAAAGTTACGGTCAAAGTTAAGTGGTGCAACTCAGCCTAAGTTTAAAAAAAACAGCATTACTTGTAGATAATATTTATGATGCTCGTCATTATACTTTAATTCAGTATTTTAACATATTTTTGTTTAGAATGAGTTTACAAGTGATGCTTTACAATAATCAGTATTACTTTATAAGTTCCTACCATCCAAAGAGTTTTGTTAACCTTAAATAATAATAAGTAATATTGTAGCTTGCTAAGCGAATACTTTACTAGTTTTATTAGTCCAAATGCAATTAAATGTGTAATGTTTTATATTTTTATAAGGCTGATGCACATTTTTGTGCTCAGATTAACACTATTGTGTTCTTATATTATTAGACTGATTTGAATTGAACAAGTAAGTTAATATGTAACCAATTTTTGCCTGGAATTTAATCGGCCTTTGTGTCATTTAAATTGTGAATTTAATAATGTTGTGTTGATTGTGTTTGTGTATGTTCTAATTGAAGTTAGGAAATGTAATAAATAAGAATGATGCGGTAGTAGGAGGCCCCTGCCTCTTGTTCGTTAACTGGGACAAAGATTGGTTCAAATTTAATGTCTTGTAACAAATCTGAAGGAAGATATCCTAGCAGATCTCAATAGAATAGGTATATCATGACAAGTGTGATCTCAAACTGATCGCATACATATCTAAAACTATCAAATACTCTGTATAATATAATAATTTAAAAGTAAAATGTTGTAAGACTGATTTTTATATAAAAAATAAGACTATAAATGGTGCTATTAAAAACTTATAAAGCTGGCAGTACACAGATAGGTTATTTGGAATATCATTGTGAATATAATTTTAGTTATAAACCTGATTATGTTATAGCTTTTTTACTGGTGGTAGTACTTACATCACCTTACGATTGCAATAATAATTATATCAGGGGTGGCCTCCTGTTTACTAACGAAACCCTGGGTGATCTACCACTTAAATACTTCTTGAAATCTTAAATTGAACAGCATAGTTTAGTACACAATTATGTAGTATTTTTTGCCTTGACACAATCGACTGGACTAATAGTCGCGATCGACCGGTTTGCCACACCTGAATTATACAGGGTGTCCCGTAATGTAACGTCAAGCCGAAACTGGGTGTTGAGGCAAGTTGTGCTGGTTATCAGATAAATATAAAAAAAAAATCTATGTGGCATATTTTAAAAATAATAGGCATTTAAAAAAAATCTAAAAATTCTACTCCAGGTGATGGTCCTTTTACTCGTGTTGCCACAAATCTTCACTTTTTCCAATTTTTTTTTGTTATGTTACACTGAATAATGCTTCTCTAAATTGTTATCAAAATTACAAAACCAGCAGCTCCAGCTTGGATGAAAAAAATACATTAGTCCCAAAAAATTTTTCAAAATAAAAATTTTGCCTAGTTTAAACTGACTGTAATGAAAAAAAAAGTACTACGCGAGTGTGGCAAGTGACGTCATAATTTGGCGCATTTAGTAAGGATTCCAAAATGGTATAACACTTGGTAAATTTTTGCAGTAATTGTCGACAATTTTTGGTTTTTTGGAAATAGTCCCGTTTTTAACTTTATCTACCTTGGTTAAAAATTATTATTCTAATGTGCCCAAAGTCACAGAAACTTTTGTCATTATGACAGTAATTAGTAGTTGGCATACTGTGACAAAAGTCACCCGTGCGCGCGCGCTTTTACTACCTGCTCTGCCTGCACTTGTACTTGGTAACAGGGATAATAAGGATATGAAGTTTCGGTTATGGATACGGTTACGGATATTAGAATAATATTATACCGGTTTCGGCTACGGTCACGGATATGAAATCATTTCAGATTATCCGAAACTTTCGGATAATTTCGGTTACGGAATTATTAGAATTTCAAAAATATAGGTATAATACAAATAGCAAGATGCTGCGTGAGCGTGACCCACATAGCTACTTTATGTACCAACTAAGACGATACCTATGTATGAAAAAGGTAAAACAGGCTGGCATATTAGATGGTGCCAGCGAATGCCAGACAAGTTGGTAACAAACAAATATTAAGATTTCAATTCCAAGACGGGCCGCAGACCGCAAACTGCAACCGCAAACTGCAAAAACTATGACATCGGCAGCGCGGCATTGCAGCTGCGGCGTGTATACTGCAGATTTCATAGAGTTTTGCAGTTTGGAATTGTACCCTTAGACTCCGCCTTTATCCGAAACTATCCGTAACTTTTGAATCAGTTTCGGTTACGGTTATGGATATTTTTTTATTTCGGATATCCGATAGTTTCGGTTACGGTTACGGATATCCATAACATGCTATCCCTGCTTGGTAAGATGGCCCTCTCCGTCCCGCTCATACCTTTTAAAATGGCTTCTCCACCTCACTTAAGCCAGAAACTTGAATTTTGGGCACATTAGAATAATATTTTTAACCAAGGTAGATAAAGTTAAAAACGGGATCATTTCCAATAAACAAAAATTGTCGACAATCACACCAAGATTTTACAAAGTGTTATACCATTTTGGAATCCTTACTAAATGCGCCAAATTATGACGTCACTTGCCACACTCGCGTAGTACAATTTTTTTTTCAGTACAGTCAGTTTAAACTAGGCGAAATTTTTATTTTGATATTTTTTTGATAATAATGTATTTTTTTCATCCAAGTTGGAGCAGCTGGTTTTGTAATTTTGATAACAATTTAGAGAAGCATTATTCAGGGTTACATAACAAAAAAAAAATTGGAAAAAGTGAAGATTTGCAGCAACACCAGTAAAAAGACCTTCACCGGGAGTAGAATTTTTTGATTTTTTTAAATGCCTATTATTTTGACAAAATGCCACATAGATTTTTTTTTATATTTTTCTGATAACCAGCATAACTTGCCTCAACACCCAGTTCCGGCTTGACGTTACATTACGGGACACCCTGTATAGTTGAAGGCCTTCCTTCAACTCAGATCCTTATCTACGGCAAAATTACATAATTATATTAAATTATTATAAAATTGTTAAACGACAAAATAGGTTATAGCATTATGCATTATTAACAAATTTCAATTTCCAAACAAACATTCCACTAAAGTAAATTATGATGACTAACGTATTTATTTTCGTAAATACAGGGTTCAAATTATTTGCTATACAGGATGGAAACGATAAGTGTTCTCACTCGATTATTTCTAAACTATACACGATATCTAAAAACTGGTTACTGATCCCCAAAGTCCTTCACGAGCTCTATCTATCGGTATTACAGGATAAACTGGATCTATCCAAAAATTCAATTTACTAAATGTATGGAAGATGAATACGTAAACGATCCAGTTATTCCGTTTGTAGAGCTCGTGAAGCATTTACAGGACCAGACCAGTTTTTAGATATTATAGATTAGTTTAGAAATAATCGAGTGAGATCACTAAACTTATCGTTTCCACCCTGTATAGGCAGTCTGACTTATGTCCTTCAAAATACTACAACCCTATGTGGTCTTGACGCGCCAGTATTTGTAAGATAATTTGATAATTGGTAGGCGCGTCCCCACTAAGCAGTGCGGCTAAGATTTCTTAATATTTAATTACGTCTAATAATATGTTACAGTCAAAACTCATAATCGGTCAAAACCATTTTGACTGCAATAATCAGTCAAAAGTGATTTTGACTGATGCCCTTGGTCAATATTACTTATGACTGATTTTTCCAGTCAAAAGTGGTTTCGATTTGACCAAGAGCGTTAGTCAAAACCACTTTTGAGTACCAAAATCTGTCAAAAGTGGTTTCGCCTGATTTATATATTTACCAATTAGTCAAAATTTATAAAAAGTGTTATAATTTGTGGAAATTACTCGGAAATCATAAAAAATGTGTTAAAAACATTTTAAAATGTAACATTTTTGTGATTTGTGCATACAAAGTGATCACACCTAACTTAAGTACATCAGTAATGTTGCTAGGTATTCGTCAGGTAAAAGATAAGTCGATTATTTATTTGTTCGGTCAGTTAAATAAA